CCTGCGGGCCAGGAGGGGTCCTGCTCCCCATGAGCCTTACCAATTGCTCCTTTGTGAACCTTGCTGCTAAGCCTGCTTCCCCGGTCCCTGGGCACCTTGTTAACCGCTGATTCATCAAATGTGATCACTGGTGATGTGCTTTCCCCACTGGACTCCGAGAGGTTTGGTTATTTTAAGTGAGACTTGATTTCTTTTAGGGCAGTTGTAGGTACACAGCAGGATTAAGAGGAAAGTAAGGAATTCCCCACGTATCTCTGCCCGCACACACACAGCCCCATTGTCAGCGTCCCTGCCAGAGCAGCGTATTCATTATAATTAATGAACCTACACATCCTCCTCACCCAAGTCCCTTAGTTCACATCAGGGCTCACTCTTGGCATTGTACAATTTGTGTGTCTGGACAGGTGTATAATGACATAGCATCACAGTGTATTTTCGCTGCCCTGACATCCCCTGGACTCTGTCTGTGAGTGTTTGAAAGCGGGAGCAAGGCTCGTCCATCTCTCCACCTCTGGGCATGTTCTCCCCAGGGCATGTCGCACATCCTCAGTAAATGCTCACAACAGTGAGCAAATACTGGATGTAAGAACATGCCTGCTCTGCTCACAGGAAAGAAATACCAAGGCCTTTGCTTTCACAGGGTTGCTGCTGCAGCCCAGGACATTTCTGTCCTTGGTGTTCTGCGGGTCCACGGAAAGCCTGGCATTTAGTTGAATGGCATCACTACTAACAACTCCAGGCTGCATTTTCACCTCTAGTAACTCTGCTTGGGTTTCCTTGGACTCCAAGTGCTATTTCTCCCTGTCGTGAATTATTCTTTGATTCTACAGCTTTCGTGGAACAGCTGTTAGGGCCAGCCCCGTCCTAGGCGCTGTGGGACGGGATACCTGGCAGAGAAGAGTGATACAGTCCTTGCCTTCATGGAATCCACACTCCAGTTGGAGAGATAGACACTCAAATAACCAAGCAAGGCGGTACCGACCGTGACAGACGTGGGAAGGAAGCACAGAGGGTGCAGAACTGGAGCGAGGCGGGCCACCTCGGTCCTAACTCAGTGATCCCCGGCTGCGCTGCACAGTCACCACAGTGGTTTGTCAGGTCCCCCTCCCCATCTCAGACCCCACGTCAGAGTGTTCATGGTTGGTGTAGAGCCCCAAGGATTTCTATTTCTGTTTAAGTTTCCAGAATAATTCTGGGGGGCAGCGAGGTCTGGGGGACTCAGTGATCTGAAGCAGCCAGACTCTCCCCTCCACGGTGGTAACCATCCCTTGGGTTGGAGTGCCGTTGTCCTTTGTGTTGGCTGACCTCAAACGTCCGTATCAGTAACCACGTTGACAAACTTGTTAGCCGCATAGGAGTGTCTGCACACGGCTTAGAGAGGTCGCTTTTATTTCATGGAAATGCCACATTGCACGGGAACGCTGAAATCATTTTGTTAGTGTCTGGGAACAAAGTGCTAGTAAACCTTCGACAGTCTATGTTGAGCACTTCATGGGAAGGGAAGGAAGTGGGAGGAAAGGGGAACTGACCGCATCAGGATCGCACAAGGGGAGGCAGAGACTAGGGGAGGCCCAGGGCGCTGGCTCCTCCCACCTCCTGATGGGGGCCGCTGAGCTGTCGCCCTGCAGTCACGACAGGATGCTGGCTGTAATCCAGGAATGCCTCTGGGACAGAATTCTCTTGAAAATAAATCTGTTGTCAGAGAGCAAGATAATGCCCACTTTTCACTTACATAATCTCCATACAAATGGCCTTTGCCCATGCAGCCAGACTGAGTATCCTGCGTGTTGGGTTTGCTAGGGCTGCCGGAACAGGGCACCACAAACTGGGTGATCTGACAGAGGTCTGTTGTCTCCCAGTTCCGGAGGCTAGAAGCCTGCCGTCACAGCGTTGGCAGGGTTAGTTCCTCCTGAGGGCAGCGAGGGAAGGATCTGTTCCAGATCTCTCACCCTGGCTTGTAGGTGGCCGCTTCTCAGTGTGTCTGTTCGCGTGGTCTCCCCTCTGTGCTGTGTGTCTCTGTGTCCAAATTTACCCTTTTTATAAGGACACCAGTCACATTGGATTAGGGCCCACCCAGCAATTGCATCTTAACTGATTACATCTACAGGAGGTCACATTCTAATGTACTGGGGGTTAGGGCCTCCACATTTGCGAGGACACAATTCAGCTGACGACACTGCAATTTAGAACAACAGAGCATGGTGCAGTCAGTGGCTCACTTGAATGGGAATCATTCATTCACTCACTCCCTCGGCTGATACTGGGAGCCTGGTGTGTATTGGTTTTGGTTCATACACCAGCATGCTGGCTTGGCAGCGTCAATCACTTCACCTCTCTGGGTTTCAGATTCTAATATGTAAAATGAAGGAATTGCAGTAAATTCTCAGATGCTTTCCTTTTAGACCCAAATTCTAAACAATAACATTTTGAAGTGAGGAAATAAGTTAAATGACAAATTGGTATACTGTTGTCAGGAATCAGCCTCGTGCTTCCAATTTAAAGTCTCTAAAGTTTAGTAATACTGAGTATATCAGTCAAGGTTGGCTACCTTCTGTAACAATTCCAGTGGCTAAAAGGGGAGAATTCCTGGTTAGGCAGCTTTCTTTTAGGGGAAGCTCAAGGATTCAGACTTCTTCTGTCTCGTAGCTCTGACTTCCTCTGGTTTTTGGAGTATTCTCCAGTCAGTTGACTGATGGGGTCAGGGCAGGGAGCATCTAACTGGGGAGGCTTTTATGGGCCAGGCCTTGGTGTGGGGCTTGTCACTTCTGCTCACATTCCATTGGCCAGAACTTAGTCACATGACCATGCATACCTGCAGGAGCCTGGGAATGGCAGTCTAGCTGGATCCCCAGGAAGAAGAGGTGGCACCAGCCATGTCTGCCAGACACCAAAAGGAAGAATGATGGTGCAGTTTCAGGAGCTGTGGTGCATCGTGAAATAGTGAATGAAGTCAGATAAAGCCACAGTGTCGAAAAGTCTAAAACAGATATTTTCATGTTTTTAATGTCTGAAATTTAGAGGAGGGGGTATCATAAGAACAAAGTCAGGAACCTCAGGGATATTTAGGGTATGCACTTTCTCTACTTTACCCTCTGTAGTTCCGTCAGCATTTGACTTTTCAGTTCATTAGAATCGACTACGGGGTTTGAAATAGCTCTGGTTCTGTGTTCTGAAACACATGGCATGCACACTTGATTTCAGTAAACAGGGTCCAAAGAGATGTAGTTGCTAGGTTTTCTTGTTTTCACTATAAACAAAGCACTAGCCAAAAAATTAATTGTATTCCCCGCTGTGTTCTTCCCCTGTAGTAAGAAGAAACACATTGGAATAGTTACAAGTTGCAAAATAAATGATACGTTTATCACTCAAAGCGCAACCCATGGTCCTGCAAATACTGGCATCACCTGGGAGGGTTTTGGTTTTGTCTTTTAAGAAATGCAGACTCCCAGGCCCCTCCCCAAACCTGCGGAATCAGAAACCATTTTAACAAAAGAGTCCCAGGGGATTTGTATGCACAGTAAAGCTTGAGAAGCTGGTCTAGATATTAGAGGTGTGAGCAGAAGTGTTTGACTTGCTGGCTTTCTGGCTTCGTTTACTTAGGCTTTGTGACAGGTGAGTCGGGTGTGTGGATGTTTTAAAGTCAGATGTGAAACAAATTCACACTCATACTGGTTTTTTTTTTTTTGTTAGTTCTTATCATGGAGAGGGTAGAGAGGAAAGGGGAGAAAAATGAAGGAAGGGGGTCTCTTCAACACTAGCCAGCGAATTCTGCTTTTCAGGCTGGCCTCCAGGTTTTTGGCTTTCTGCCGTCTTTATGGTGTTTGTGAATGTTAAGCCTCAGGGAATCGTATAATGTGCTGCACAGGCAGCCTTCAACTTTTACAGGTAAGAAAAAATCTAATAGAAAAATTGAACAGTAGACCCTCCATGTTAGCAAGAAGGTTCTATTCCCAGAAAGTTAGAGAAATTATCTCAAGATCCCTATTAACCTCAAGATCACTTTTGAGATACAGTTGTGGCAATACATTTCGGACATTTTTTACATGTGATTTAATTTTGTTCTTTGTGAGTGAGTGTGGTAGGGGTCTGACTCGGGCCGAGAGCAGTGGTTCTGATGCTGACGGGCTGCTGCTTTATCTTGGCCTCCTCGGTCTCTGCCAGGCTGCCGGCCTCTCAGCCTCCCCCGACACGCCACTACAACCCCAACTCTCCTGCTGCTTCATTCCACCGGGCCTGTGAGTTCCTTTATGATTTTAGTTATCTCGCTCTTACTGGAAGGATTCGTTGAGGTCGTTTCCTCTGTTAGGGTGCCGGAGCCCTCGGAGGGCGGGCGGGTTTGAATCTGCACTTCTCTGCACACGGTACGGTGAGGCCGTGAGGGCTTGGACCCTGGAGCC